AAAAAAAAAAAAAAAAAAAAAACATGCTAATTTTCTTAGAAAAGTATGAATACCAATATTTACAAACAAAAAGTCTTTTAAAATTACTATTTTTTGGTTGCTAGCGTTTAAATATATGGATTCTGTAAGAAATCGGTTCTCATAAATAATGATCATATATTATTTATTTTCAATTTTAAATAATTAAAAAATCTAAAAATTTATATACATGATGTATATTTTAATCATGACTCCATAATAATAAACTTTACAAATGATTAAAAGTATCGTCATATAATGGAATTCTAATTCTTTTGTTGTCAAATATTTTAACAAATGATTTGTTTTTCAATATTTTCTCATTGTTTTGTTTTATCATTACAAAAAATAGATTATATTGTTCGTCTATATTCTAGATAAATAACACTGAAAATGAAATGTAGGAGTATTTTTCTCAGCGAACAGGAAGGAAGCAAAACCGAAAGGGAGGCTCGGTTAGCTCTCGACACTCCGTAAGGTCAGATTAAAACAGTTTTGAATGTTAGAATTAAGTTGTCACTTTTTATAGAAATATTTATAATCTCATTGGTGTATTGTGCTTGTACATATGTGCAATTACTTTAGATGTACTTTCAGGTAATGTATGATGATTTCAAAAAATAATTTAGCACCTCGGGAGAAGTACATGTGACCAAGATTTTGGAAAGTCAGCTTTTATTTGGAAATAAAATTCATTCCCACCTCGTGGGGCGATGCATCAATGGGGTAGACACCAATATATCTAGAGATAGAAGAATGTAGTAGTTTATACAGTGATAAAAAATATCAACAATTTTAGTGACACCGTTAGTTATTTCATAGAGATATTTATCCTTTGTTAGTAGAAGTACCTTGTTATAAAGATCATAAGATCATGAAGTTTGACTATATGTTAGGTCAGAATGTTTTTTAAGTGTTTGAATAAAATTTGCTTTTTGCCAAATTAATTAAGAGGAATTTTGCAATATTATTGATGTATTGGACTCCAACGATTATGAATGTTCTTATGAGAACGTTAAAACTAAAATAAAAGAAAATCTTTGTGTTTTTTTATTAGGAATTTATTTTTTTTATATATATTTTTGGGATTGTAAAACGTTATTTCACTATTTTTATATGAAGACATAATTATGTTAATTCTAAATAAAAAAAATCACATATGAGTTCATTTTTTTTTTATATTTTACTTCATTATGCAATGATATGTTTAATAAATAAATTAATTTATTTTACAATCTTACTCCGCGAAAATCATTCGACACCACGTGCGATGTGCAATTTACTAGTATTCTATGAAAACAGGGACTGTTAATTTTGGGGTTCGAGAATCTTTACAGGCAATCAATGTAAATAGTTTCTCCAGACAATATATTGGTAAATCATGATTAAGGTTGTTAACACTTTTAATCTGGAAACTAATCGAGGCTAACGTGCTGTAATAATAATAATAATAATAA